AAAAGGTCACACTCTCCAAAAATCAATGGAGGTATTAGCAAAATACCGCAAAGTCATATTACTGCTAAGACAAATAAAACATTGCAATTGAGTAAAAAAGCGTCAAATGCATAACTGCCAAGGAAACTCTACTCTTTTCGTGAATACAAGATTAGAACTTACTACTTCTGTTACGATTAGAAGCCAAGTTCACCCCTTCCAGACGTTTTCGTTTCTTATCCGGTGACATCTTAGTCTCTTCATGCTCATTGGACAGCCGATATACTGTTGTATCACATTTCTCTCCGTATTCATCCCATTGAATTATCCGACTATGAATGGGAAACGTGAGATTTGCCAATTTAGCCGATCGGAAAAATTGACCCCCCGTACGAGGATTCGAGTCATTCACAATATCGTAGCATGCTAAATGCCTTCCATGGGTCAAAACTCCGGCGTGTTGAGACGGAAGGAAGGGATATGGTTGAAAATTTATCACCCCATCTCCCGTGACAACCTCGGAAAGACCATTTTCATCGTTCTCTTCCTCGTCATCGTCATTATTCTGGTCTTCGTCGTAAACTTTGGCATTAAGAGGAGTAGGGGGCACAGTCTGACCTTCCACAGCCGATCCACGTCTTGATGCATCACCGTTTGGATTTTCATTGGTATTCCCATCGCCTTCTGCTTCCAAAAAGACAGGGACTCGTTGGGAGAGATGAAGGGGGACGAGAAGGGTGTCTTCATCTGCCATGGCTAAACCCTCTCGAGCCCAGTCCTCCATTCTGGCTAGACCAATAAGTCGACGACCTAGAGAGACAGGAGGTTCGATGCGATTGTCGGCGAAGACAGAGAAATCGGCGGCTTCACGGAAATCTCCATCTCGAGAAGTGAGAATGATGCTATTCAATTCGTTGTCTGCCCAATCGGCAAAAAGAAGTCGGGAGAAGCCTGCTCGCAAACTTGCATCAGTTGCCAAAATGACCTACAGGAAGGAGGCAAAGATTAAATGATATCTAATCACTTAAATTATGAAGAAGGCCCGTAGTGGAAATGCACAAAGTGGCATTTGGATATTTACCTCCTAACTCTTCTATCGCGGAGGGAGATGTACATAATACTTACCTCAAATAAGACACCTTTTACGGGTTTGTCGGACTAAATAGTAAAAGTGTATACTCTTCCAAAAGAACATGCTTCCACATGTAGTTCATAACGTCATTCAAAGTAACTAGGCAAAGTGTAAATCTGCAGGTAAACAGTCACTTCAATTTCCAACTCAAGACTTTTTCAACCAATCAGTTGACAAGTACGAAGGGAAATGAAAAAGCCAAGAAGAGAATTCAAGCAAAACAAGGAATGAGAGCTTCTTTACTGGCGGTGTTATAACTTTCAATAGCCTCTCAATGAAATGTCTCTCTTCCCTCAAATTAGAACAAAGCACAGGTGGAAATCCTTTTCCCTGGCCTTGTGCTGTTCCAGAATATGCAAGTAATTCAGTGAGATTGTAGGAGAAAGAAAGGACTTTGACCGACAATCAAGTTGTCCCCAAATACATACGTACGTATTCATCAGTTTGTTCGATTTCAACACGCAATTGAAACACGAATTCAGGATTCGCTAGCGAAAAACCTAAAAGTAACAGCAATGATATAATTCATTTAGATATCTTCAAATCGAGAGTAATGATCTTTATTCAACAGGTTTACTGTGTAGGGAAAGAAATCGATAAACTCAGCTGAGGATACATCCTTACCATTGAATATAGGTGTTGAATAAATGGATAGAAGGAAACCAAAACGTAATACTACATGGATGGACTTCAAAGCCTGCACCCAGTATAAAACATTTAACGATTCGACAGATTAAAAGTGGCACTAAAAATAGCAACAGCTTAGATGAAAAAGCAATCAGAATTACAAATATCTGCGAGATAACTGTTGTGAGGCGACCAGACATAATGTTAAATAAAAGTACGTAAAATATACATCTCAAGGATATATAGGTAAGCTCCAAACAAAGTCGATAGTCAATAAAGACTAACATAGATACACGAATACACAAAATCCATACTAAATAACGCCAGATAAAGTAAAATACAAGAGAATTAATTATTAGAAAAAAAACACGAACCTTTGGATTTGCCACGAGATCAAGTTGATCTAGAGTTTGACAAACCTGAAGATGTCTCATTTGGAAAGGATTATTTCTTTGATCCTCAAAAGATCGTAGGATTCTTTCCGACATCCATTCAATTAGAGCTCTTGTGGTATCCAGAACATTTCCCCCGACGAAAGATAGCATAGCCAGGCCATAAGCCATGAGCCCAGATTCCTATAAAAACGTTCAATTTTTTTTGTTTTTTTTTTTGCAAGGAGAATATGACTTACTGGACTATGCCAAAGATTATCAAGTATATACGCCAGCTCCAAAGAAAATCCTGTACTATCAACTGCGATTAGAACATTACCACCACGTCTAAGTGTTTTGAGAAGTAGATCTCGCAATAATGAATTGCGATCTTTGCGCATTGTCTGAAGTAAAAAATATAAAAAAATGTGTGGTTAAAGACTCACATTTGTGTAGAGAGCATTTGAGGCATCAATAATGAGTAATCGTGGTCTGATACAAGCATCCAAAGCAGCACCATTAAGATGGCGACTCTTTTCATTGTTAAAATCAACCGCATAGATAATATCAGTCTCATCTTTGACAATTTTCCAAATTGTTCCACCAAGCATGTGACCAGAAGGAAGGGGAGTGATACTTAGACCACGACCTTTACCTTGAAGATTTGTTGTTTGGGAATATTTGACCGGAACAACCAGACGGAAGACATTATCAATATCATCAAGCGCAAAGAGTTTGAAATCCTTCGAAAGGTATCTGGATTGGAATTCATCGTAGCACACGAGTTGACCAAGTTTGCAAACGGGAATAGTAGTGTACACCGGGCAACGAAGGCCATACTTACCATACAAAACTGGTAGAAGGCCAAGATGCCGTAAGCTCGCATGACTGATGAGAACTGCACTGATCTTTTTTACCCATTTACCGATCTCTGCAATTCGGGATTCGGGTAATATCTCCGAATAACCACAATCAAGGAGACAATAAAAGTCATCAACTTGAAGTATGTAGCATGGAGGAAAGTTGTCACACGCACCAGAAAAAGTGTGCAATTTTATAATAGATGTAGCCATATATTACCAACAAATATAGGTATGCGGAAAGTTTGACCCTAATGATAGGAGAAAATATTGAACACAAGAAGCCACACTTTTTTGTATATGACGCCGCTGACGTAGAAATATAAAATCAAATATATTTGATTTAAGATTAATTACACTAAGTTGTTTAACTTTTTTCAGTTTGATATGCTGGCATATGTCTGAGTTATATATTTTAAAATAATTTGTCATCACCTCAGTGTAATAAAATTTTGACTGGATCATTAAATTTCCTTGATCACTGAAAATGCGAAATATTTTATAACTATATAAACGCCCATAAATACATTTTTTCTGTTTATTATACAGTTATTTAATCTAATGTTCCATTTCGCACTCTTTATTAAAATAACCTAAATGATTACATAAACTCATATAAATATCAAAAAATAATTAAAAACAAATTTTTATAATATTAGTGAATTTAGATCTTGGATAAATTTATAAGACGAATTCAGTACTAATATAAATAAATAATAAAATTAATTGTCCTTGATTTACATGAAGGGTATACAATTTCACAAGCGAGATAATATTGACTGCCCCAGATATGTTAGTCATTAATCAAAGCAATATCAAATTTGAAATAAAATATAGGTTGCCCAAAATACATTTCAAATTTCATTCAAAATTTTGATGACATGATGTTGCAAATTTGTTAAGCCATTTCTATTTGCAGATTAAAAATAGAATTGCAGATGACTGTTAAAGCGAAATATTTAATTCTCTGTGTATTAATGAATTTACTTTAAAGTTGTAGACAATCTGGCTAGAATAAGAAAATTTTTTGCGAAACTTCCATAAGAGACTGCTAAATCTTGAATCTTTTATTTTGACATACCCATAGACTCATTAGTAACCCTTTCGGTATACACCTTTCATCTCGATCAAAGAAATCGTGCATAATTAAGCAGGTTTCGAATAACCGACTTCATTTTCTTTACGAATATCGAACCAAACATTTGCGTACTAATGCAAATTGATCATATTTGCAACATTTAAGACTGCGCTAAATGTTTCTAATCAGGTTGAAGAACTTGAAAAGTGGGGGTCTGAGAGAATGAGAGATCAGCTAAATGCCATTAAGATAGGTTTAACTAATGAAGTTAGCCATTTTGCCCAATTTGGTGTCTATCAGATATAAACGACTCAATAGTCCCTAACTCAACGGCTGTTAACATTAAGTTCTGGAACAACAGCCGACAAGTTGACTTTAACTTGTAAGGAAGTTTGGGGCAGAAATTTTGTATTCGACAATTCTAAGGAGTAAGCTCTACACGCTTAAACCAATGATTTATGTCTCCCGAAACCTCCCATACAAGGGTTCAATCTGAAAATATTCAAAGGCACTTAACTGGTCCTCAGATGTTAAATACGTTAACTTGACAAGAAATATGCTTTAACAATTAGTTACAGCAAAGAAAAGAACGAATAAAGTGGGAGTGGAGTTGTTACGAAGGGGCTTGCACTTAGAAGTACTTTATTAACTAAAGCTTGTCGGGGTGGGTCATATAAGGGCGGAGGACACCACAAACTAGA